ATTTTGTCTTAATTTCTAAAAACGTTCCTAAACCCCCCCCTCCCCCTTAAAATGTGCTCCGCTGTCACTGGTCACACATGTTAATTATGAAATGCTAATTTAGGTTGTATGTTTCAGGTTTTGCCCATGCCGCCAGATCTACTACCAGCGCAGAAAATGGTGTTCACCCCTGATGGACTGAAACTGATTTGTGCAACCAACCAACATTCTATACAGGTGATCTGCCTTTTTCAAGCTCCATCAGGCTATCGCCTTTCAGTGACTAATGGGAGCTCCCCTTTTAGGCAGTGCCTAAACTTATACATTAGAAGAGACAACTAGCTAAAAAATAGTATGGGCAGAGTCGGTGTTTCTAATGAAACAGTAATGATAAAAGGGTAAATATGAAAAAAACTGACATTTTGGATGCTAGTCCTTCATCTTTTCACGTTGTATAATTTACCCTAACAATATACATCAGTGCTGGACAATAATATCTCTGCTCTAGGCTAGTGAAAATTATGACACTAACTAGTCCATACTCTAATGGGGTTTTTGGAATACTTTTGTATAAATCCAGTAGCCAAGCAAAGTATYCTACAGTACAGCTCGCRGGGATGTTAACAATTCACRCATGMAAACYRCATTTAGTACACTCSTACAAACTACATGCAGCTGATTTTCTCATTAACTAGTRTCTTTTGTTCGAATTCACAATAACACATTCTTTCGTCCAGAGCTTCTTTTACTAATTTTTTGAAGTTTAACTAAGTTKATAGTAAAATAACTTGGAATAAATTGTCGATCRAACTGATTTGGAATACAAGCTAATTAAAATTATCTGGGCTGGTAGATTACTGTGATTGGCTACTGGATTTAAAGAGTTACTAGCTCRATGTCTATTAGACTATCTAAAAAGTTAGTGTTAAGCACTGAATGCATACCATATTTATTATTTATAGGTGTTGGAGATTAGTGAAGAAGTTACACTTGCTTCAACAATTCATCTTCCAGCAGCAAATGAAAATGGTAGTTATAACGTTATAAGTATCCATTATTATTATCATCATCATCATAACCATCATCATCACCATCATTATTATTATAAATGAATGTGCAAACTTGTACTGTCGTCTTGTAATAGAAGCTTTGCCAGCCATGACAGGAGGCACAACAATAGATTCTTTTCTCCTTGGGAACCTGAATTTTTTCCCACATAAATCAGATTAGACCAGATTCGATAGGACACATGARAATGAAAGTTTAATTTATAAAATAAATRAATAAATGAATAAGATTTTTTCTGTAGCTGCATCATCCTTGCTAACTCTTTATGTTGTCATTTACGGCAGATCTYCCTGCAATGTGCTTATTGGCTGTGTCTCATGACGGACAGTGGTTATCATGTGTAGACAGTAGAAATGCTGTCAATGTTATCGACATCAACAATAATAAGGTGAGTATTAAAATTAGAATTTATTAATTAATTTCATGGCTGGGATTTCATTTAAATATCAAGTAGGCAATTTACTTAATAATAATAATGGGTTCTTACATAGTGCATTTCAAATATCTCAATGCGGTTCACATTTTATGGCCAGTGGAAGACTTTATGGGTTGCGTATTAAGGCGTATGACAGCCTTSCAGCTTACAATCATGAGTGTGAAATGTTAGTAGATTAGTATTATGCCCGAGCCAAATTGGGATAAGCGGTTAAACCGGAAGACAATCCCCTACTCTTACACGTATTAATTCAACAGGTTCTTTTATGTCCCCCATTTTACTGTAGGTTAGGAAGGGTTGGGAGACAGGGCCTACGGTTTTAAGTCGTTGTCCAAGAAGACTTGAACAGGGGTGGTGGAAGCTGAAAATCTTGGGGGGGCACTGCAAAAAATCACAACAATAACTTAATAAAAGTAATAAAAATCGAATATATGCATTTATATTTCATGTGAGCCAATATTTTGTGGGGGGCCARGCCCCCCCSGKTTYSSCSSCCCYKKTKRAAGTCTAACCATTTGMAGATATAATTACAAAGGCAGCACCTTCYCCTCAGTTATTCTAGGAGCRTTRAAAATAAAGACCTTCATTTGTACAAGGTACAAATGGGACATAATTGGCAAAARTAGGTGGCTCAGAAAGTAGACTTCACCGGATTCTGGCTTCTAATGAAATCCCTGCATGATGTATAATAGTCTTRAGTATAAAAACTGATGGTTTTTTAACCTTTTTCCCCCAGATTCATTCAACACTACCCACTTTTAGCAGCTATGTTACAGCCATGGCGTTTCAACCAGAAACACAGTTTCTAGCAATTGTTTGTTCAGATAAACAGGTATAAGTCTTGGCTCTCTTATTTAATATAATATAATATAATTATATCTTATGATGAATATCGATTTATCATGCGAGTTAAAATGATGTTGTCTGTGCAAAAACCTTAATAGAGGTACTTGCATCATCAACACACTAGCAACACCACCATCATCATGTCCATAATCATCGTCATTGTCATTGCTATCATCACCACCACCATCATTGCTATCGCCACTACCATCATCATT